CATAGTTAGGAGGTTCTAAACTTTTATTGGTTTATAGTAATTTAAAATTCGCTTATGCTTGAGTGGCGTTCATACCAGTTTCTTCCGAACTGGTACTCCATAACCCAGTATCAATACCTTAGCACTTACTGTTCTGCCCCATTCGTCGAAAATCGACAAACTGATGATCGATTGAGAATGTTTTAAATCCTAAATTAAATTAAATGTGCCACATTCCTTTTCTTTTATATCCGACTTGACGTTTTTTTCTTACTTTAAATTCATATTCGTTCAAAGTTTGTGCTTGTTCTCAACATCTCTCAAATGCTCTACTGAATGGAAGATGAACAAGATCATATTTATAAATATGCTCCAATTAATTTCTTACTACAACATATTCTCCAGCTATTCTGTTTGTCCATACTTCTTTTTTAAGATCCCTATTTCTCATTTTATTTATCTAATGCATTTTCTTCACGAATTTTCTTCTGCTCATTTATCTGAAAGACTATGTATGATTAAAACAAGGTATAACAACATATCAGACTATACTAACGCACTATGTATTGTATCCCTCTTTCAACTGAAATTAGTTTCAAAAACATTGAAAAGTATTAGAAATTCAATATTGATAATTAAAACAAACAGTTCTTTCAGGTTGAAGCATTATATTTTTAAGCACCACCAAGACTCATTACCGTTGATAAATCTTCAATCACGGTCAAATTCATAACAGGTTTATGTTTATGGTTTTCGCTATGAACACCATGAAATCCACTAACGATGTAGCATGTTTTCTTTTGCCTGATACAATGATTTTCAACTTCAACTGATACTTTTTTATTATTTAAATTAATATCACCGAGCTTAATTTGATTGGAATTGAGATCAATACATAGAATAATTTTAAATATCCATCCACTAATGTACTTTGTACTGCCGGAACCTAATTGATCATCTTTTAAATTCATTACACGATCCCAAAAGCCAGAATTTACGTGTCCCTGATACGTTTTAATAAATTCATCTAATATTGGTAATACATTATCTAAATATTGATGATAATCATCGCTAATTTTGGTATACATTTTCAGTTGTTCGGTCTTATGTTTCAATAAATGCCAATCGTCGAATGTATCTTTTTAACGACAATAAAATAGCATGCATTTAAACAATTAGATTCAACATCAAATGTTGCCA